CATAGTATACTATGTGGTACAAAGATAAGAGTTTCATTGATGGTTTGGGACAGTTCAATCTAATCTTTTTTTGTGTTTAGTCAGATGTGCTTGCTTTTGTTAGGATAATATAGGCAGTTAGACAAACAGGAAATGAATAAATTAAATGATTTTTGAAAAACAATGTAGTTTGTGTTAAAATACTTTTGGTAGTATATATGCAGCTGTGTCTAGTCTCATCACATGAACAAAAAAAATTGTAAAGAAAAAAATAGTTGTTTCATCAACAGCCACACGAGGGTGACATGCTTCTGAGTATTACACATTCCCATGATCCAACGCGCGCTTGCCTTTATATAAACCCGGAAGTCCGTTGASTGAATGAATGCTAGAATGGAGAGAGTTGTGGCGTGTTTGTGTGAGTGAATGTGGAGTGATTGTGTGTGTTTGTTCTCTGAGTGAATGTATATTTTTCGTAAAAACCTACACAGTGATCTTATTTGATCTGGTCCGAGTTTGGCTCTGCTCTGATCGGAGATGATAGGAAAAGTGCTCGCGAGCCTCCACCAGCAYGGTGTGGCGATGAGCAGCCTGCGAGAAACACAGGGCCTCCACGCTTCGTGCTGTGGTCAGAAGTGATGAATTGATCAGATATACTAGTTCTGTTTGGGTGAGCTTGAAGTTCGCTTTAAGCCTCGCCTGTAAGGACAATGAGTAAAGAGGCGATTCTGATCTAACCACAGCTGAAAAGAAGCTAGTAGCCCCGCAGCAAATGAAGTTGTTTCAAACGATTTGGCCCCACCTGCCGTACCTTGTTTAATGATAAAAACAGTTCTATGTTAATTTAGTTTTTTTTTTTTTTTTACAATTTTAACTCGAATGGGATTACCCTTTTTTTAAAAAGTCAAGACTACCTCTGACTATTTTACTCAAAATGTCTCAACGCCCAGCCTTTAACTGCACATCACGTTGAGACACACATATTTGAATAAATCTAATAAGGCTTTATTTTCCTTTCAAGATGGCATTAAAGTTATGGAAAAGCTAATGTAATTGTTTTTTTCATTCTCCGGTTATCCGGATCAGTGTTGCCAGATAAACAACAGCTGTATTTAAAGACTTACTTGTGACAATTTTTTTCCAAAGCTCGTCTAAACAATAATTTTGACATATAGCTCAACCCTTCCAAATTATTTTTGTTCCGAGAAAGCACTCCTTCAGTCAGCACGATTGCTTAGGTGAAAACACGTGTTTTAGCAGTTCATTATTTTCTATTTGGCAACCATTTTRCAGCTTGATTTTAAATCTCGCGATAATAGCTTTGTGGACACACGTGACCTTTTTCGTCCAATCAACCTTTCTTTTCTCATTGAGGAGCGCGAGACGACCMACGGTTTGTTTTTTTCCCCTCTTCCTGCTGGATAAACAGCAACTTTTGCCACCCATGGCCGAAACTAGCAAAAGTCAGCGACTTAGTCAACTCACCAAAGACTCACAAACATCTTCGAGCCGGGCGAAAATCTTCGGGGGTGGTCCGCCCCGTGATTCGGAAGAAGATGGTCGATTTGTTGAGGGTTCCATACTTCGCATCACGATGAAAAACTTCCTGTAAGTTTTTAAGCTCCTAGCTGTATCTGCCTCCAGCTCACACACGGTGGGAAACTGAATTTGCCGCAACCCTGAAGAACATAAGCTGTTAGGGGTTTATAGCGTACCTACTACATATATGTTGGTATTTTACAAGCATTTACAATTGTATACGTAACTAGCAGTTTCTCAACTGAAGCTAAAAGTGCTAAACGTTTACTTTGCTCAGGGAAGCTAACTCAACCATCGTATCTCACAGTTAAGGTGAAAGGTGCGGATCTATGTTCAAACTTACAAGTAACTTCACACTGCAACTAAATCAGTTTTTTAGTTTAGACTTAGTGTCAGTTTTGCCAGGGTAGGTACAGTTTTTCTTTTCAAAGAACAAGAGTGTGTGACAGTCATGTATTTAAGAAACAGGACGGATTATTTGCCAAGACGTGTTGTGAGAAATATATAATAGTCCTTAAACGGATCATCTACTTTATGGCAAGTTTTTGTTTTATTTAAATTAAACTCTCAGATCCTGATGCATCCATCAAGTTGTTTTGAGCCACCAAATCAGTAGCTACATTCTTTAAAGCAGTGGTTCCCAAACTTTTTATCTTCTGACCCACAAAATATCCATGGCTAAATCTTGTGACCCCAAATATCTGAGTACATAAACTTTGTTAATAACCCTTGTTATGGCAATTATTTATCTAACAACAGAGACAGAAATACGTGGTGACAAGAATGAAGGTACTCCGTGGGATGATCAGCTGAGTTTTATTGCAACAACAGGAAACACAGAGAACGTGGCCTGTCTCTGTGCCTCTCTGTCTCTCTGTCAGTCTCTCCACACTGCTCAC